AGGTTCTCTTCAAAGCAGGTGTTGATGATTTTGGCGTAATGGACACATAGCGCACTCCCACCATACTTGAGGAGCTCATTGGGGGTATTGTCAGGTCCATTGGCTTTGCCGTTCTTGAGGCGTTTAGCAGCGGTTTTTACCTCATATTCTGTGATAGGGCAGTCGAGGGGAGAAGGGGGACCTTCAAACGGATCAAGGGCAGGTTCATCTCCAGTCAGCTGTTCTTCATACCAATCGCGGAGTACTTCAGCTTTAGCGAGGTCTGTACCAATGGGGTACCCATCCTTATTGTGGACAACTATAGGCTTTGTCTCTTTGGTCTTAGCTAAGGATCTCACAGCTTCGAACATTTGACGCGTGTCGTCAGTTGATGAAATTTCTTCAGCTAACTGGTCAGCCTTAGCACACTCTAGCTCCTTCAGTCTCTTTTTGATGTCTTTACCGAGCTTATTTCTCCGTCCTCGCAGTACAGAGCTATCACAGGGCTTGTTGGTGCTTGCCAGGGCGAGGCGTATATCGTGTCGTTCTGCGACTAGGGCAACAACAGTAGGGTCATTAGAGAAGAAGCACTTATTCTTAGCCTTCCTGTAGCCTAGGGTCTCAGCAGCTGACTTATGAACTTCACCCAGTACTACTGCAAAGTCCTTGTTGGGATCACCTGAGGGTATTACAGTAGAAAGTCTACTAGCAATGTCATGTTCATACATTCGTTTACAATCGGGGTCTGATGTGAGCCTGCGAGTGTCAAACATTTTAGGACGTTTAGGAGCTTTAGCGTAGAACAGGGGGCGTTTAGACAATTCAATCGTACATATTACAAGCCTATGGTCAGAGCTAAACACCATACCGTTGTGCGACCTAGCATCTCTGAGCAGACATTTACTTCTTCTTTTACAAAGAATATAATCTATCTGAGTAAACACTTTACGCTTTTTACCAGACTGACCTTTGACATTAACCAAACCCTCGTAAGTGGTCCGATGACTCGCACGGTGAAGGAAGGCAGTATTAGCAGCAAACAAGTCGTTTCTACACATGAAGTTGAGAAGGTAGTGACCGTTGTGATTCCTTTTACCCATACCGTGCCTGCCGACATAATCTGACACACCATTTACATAGTCTGAGTCATCAAGCTTACCCAGCCTACCGTTGAAATCTCCCATCACAAACAACTCGTGTCTTGAAGGAACGACAATAGCTGAACTGACTTGCTTGTACAATTTCCTGACAATTTCTGGTCTGAGTTCTGATTTGGTGTTGGTTGGGCAGTACACATTGACGGCTCTAAACATGACGGGTTCACCGTGCTTTACAGGCAATCTGAAATCTATCCACGCAACACGGTCACTAACACGATGATATTGAACAATGTACGGTACTAGCCGCTTTGATACCACAAACCCCAGTCCTGCATAACAGGCATCCTTTTGTTCAATGATAATCAACTTATTGCCACAGGGTAACATTGCTTCAGATGGCTGAGTGATCTTAGTTTCTTGAAGGGCTATAACGTCTAATTTATATTGAGTACAGTCACGTCCTAATATATGTTGGTCTACTTCTTTGCTCAGCCCACGAACATTGAATGTTGCAAGGGCTAGAATGAGTGAGAGAGGGATCAACTTAGGGACGATGAGTAGAGGGTTAGATGCTGCAGCAGGGGTAATCTGTGTCTCCCTGCTTCTGCTGATGTGCCTGACGTCATCACTGGTCATTCCACCTAATAATGGTTAAAATACAAAGTAAAAAGATTTTCCTCGATGGGCCGGCATTCGCAACCGCGAAACGTTTTGAGTACGACAAACGATGACACCACCACCAGCCGTTAATTGATAAGTCCATGGGTGACGGGATAAAGTTAAAGTAAGATGTGTAATTTCATATTGCCTATCACCTATCACCTAAGTTACTTTGCATATACTACTTCTATAGAAGTAGTATATGCATTCTAGAATTCTAGTTACACGATAGCGATCTCAGTTCCCAATAACGTGTGACCCAACAGAAGGGATTGTGGAAGGACATGTACATTTTTCATTAACACGTGCCCTGATTACATCCTCCGTTGAGCCACTATACGGGGATCGTTGATTGCCAGTCTGTAGTCAGATCGTTAATAAATTATACTTTAAAATTGGTTGCCGGGTGATGGTGTCAGTGAGAGACGTTAAGTTAGGTGAACATTGGTACAAAAATATAATAATATAGCAGTTTATCTCAAAGTTAAAATCACTATTTGTTAAAGTATACAAACAGTTCTATTCAAAAGAACAAAGTCCGAGAGCAGAGAGAAGATTTGGAGACTATACACGCATATGTGGGGTTTAAATTTGGTATTAGTAATTTTAGGGTTCGACCGAAAATGTTGGTCGGTTGGTTAATAGGGAGCAGTCACTGTCATTAGAATTATCAGATTAGGAGCAACAATTAGAATCAAATTGGACATATTAAGCTGCACCTTAAGATTTTGCAACAATGTCTGGCTGTGTGGGCGGCGAGCTGTGTATATGGTTGAATTTATTTATAAATGTAACATAATACAGGCTCTAAAAAGCATTACTAGCAATTGTGCTCTTTACCCTCTATCTTACACAATTTGAAAATTTTAGTCATGCGCGCATTCACCTAACCGTGTGCTTTCGCGCCACTTCGGGCGCCTTTTCGGGCGCCACTTCCAACTTCGGGCGCGCCCGCCGTGAGGCACAGGAGGGACTAAATGCAAAAAAACTGCTGTTAACTGCTGCTCACTGCTGCTGTCGAACCCTAAAATTACTAATACCAAATTTAAACCGCACATATTTGTGTGTAGTTTTGAGTTTCCAAATCTTCTCTCTGCTCTTGGACTTTGTTCTTTTGAATGGAACTGTTTGTATACTTTAACAAATAGTGATTGTAACTTAGAGATTAACTACCATATTATAATATTTTTGTACCAATGTTCACCTTAATTAATGTTTCTCACTGACACCATCGCCCGGCAATCAATTTTAAATTAAAATTTATTAACGATCTGACTAAAGACTAGCGATCAACGTTCCCCGTAGCTCAACGGAAGGGGTAATTAGGGCATGTGTTAATGAAAAATGTACGTGTCCTTCCACAATCCCTTCTGTTGGGTCACACGTTTATTGGGGATTGAGATCGCTAGCGTTTAGCTAGAAGCAGTATCTGCAAAGTAACATAGGTGATAGGTGATAGGCAATATGAAATTACAAATCTTATTTTATCCCATGGACTTATCAATTAAGGGCTGGTGGTGGTGTCATCGTTTGTCGTACTCAAAACGTTTTGCGGTTGCGAATGCCGGCCCATCGAGGAAAATCTTTTTACTTTGGTTTTTAACCATTATAAAGTATGATTAGTCGGATATAATATTGAGTTCAAACAGTTCCCGAAACGAAAAAGCAAACATTTGATTTTTGTTTCGGTGACTGAATCGTCGATGGGCCGACAAATATTTGTTGTCGAGTAGTGTTGAATACTCATATCTACATGATTATTGATTTAATTTAGGAATTGTATATAAATATCTTTGACCAAGTTTAATTGTCAATGAGAATGCACCCCAGCACTTGGCACGCGCAGCGGCTTTGATGTTAGCGGCTACAAGTTAGGCAGCTGACGATAAGATGCCATGCGTGTTCAGCGTACGGCTTTTCGTTTTCGATTTTACAAAGCAACTTTTAATGATTATTAATGTCAAAATTATCGGATATTTATAATTCAATACATGTATTGATTCTTCTGTGGAAAATAAAAATTCTATTTTACTTAAATTGTATTTTTCTTTGAATGTACACTGTAGTTCGGAAATGTAAACCAAACTCTTTTGATCAGCCGCGCCGAACCTGTGTTGCATTTTGGCTAGGAACGATATTTTTCCACGGGATCAAAAGCATCTGATAGATATTACTCCCCCTATCAGAAACAACTAAAAAGTCGATTTTGAGAAAATTTCCATGAAGACCCCCCCCCCCCTGCCCCCTTAACCAATAACCACCTCTGGACACTCCCCAGCTCCTAAATGATACCCGACTTCCATGAGCCGTAACTGAATTGCTATAGATCTGGTTTATATATCTATGATAGTTTATTTAATATATGTATACTATTATATAGTAGTATATATATATACTAATTGTTTTATATATCAGTATGCACCACAACATGTCGTCTGTGGGGCTTTGATAATTAGTACTTACTGGTGTTTACCTATCATTCAGATTTTCCTGTTTAACATGTAAGGTAAGGACTACAAAGGAAGAGTAGGAGCTCATCACACCTATTTGCATGATGTGTTAATAAAAGACCTTATAATTATTACTAATTATAATAGTGTGAAGACTACTCGGCTACTTGATTTATTTCTTGTGTTTGCTGTATTTAGTTTTATAATATAACAATAAGATTCAATTAATTAGGAGAAATAGTTGACTCTAAGTTAACTGTACTGGTTTCAACGTGTGGCACTGTGTCGTAAAACTTGCAGAGCTGTGCTTGAATGTTGAATGTGTCATACAATACATAGTTATTTAAATAATATTTCATTGTACAAATGTTGACTCAAATGAGTGGTAGTATGATGATAAAGCGAATTTATCGATCCTACCGCTCTAGTGACTACTGCTCAAAAAATTGGACAAATTAGGTGATTTAAGAGGATACTAGTTTTTCAAAATTGCCCTTAATTCAAACGACAGGGCCCTTAGCTTTGGTTTCTCAACTTTTGGTCAAATGGAAATGTACTGTAGTTAGATTCAGTCAGAGACAGGTATAGTACTGCAGTATGTAATGTCTAGTAGGACAAAGACGCAACATGTCACTTGATGTGTTAACTACCATATTGCTAGAACAGCGAACTTATCATGACACTAAAAAGTACCCCCCTCTAATGGCAACCCCCCCCCCTCCTAGTGTAGACAGAGATTACTATCGATTACAATGTTGGTTAATGAATTCCTATGTTTTAAAGCTGAAGTCAGATTGCACAGTTGTAATATAACACATATTTCTTCAGATGATAGATTATGTATGTACCCCCACCCCCCTGTGCTTGTAATGGCCGCTAGGAGATCAGTTTCAAACGCCAGTCAAAAGAATCCACTGCACTTTAAGTTGGTTCTTTTGGGTAAGTCTTTTTTAAAACCCATCTTTTCGTTGTTGTTCTATAAATTTAAATATGCCTAATTTATTAACCTAAGTTTCAATATTTTAGAATAATAAGTCGTTAGAAAGTTAGAACTAACAGTTAACCTCTCTTTACAGGCGATGAAGGGGTTGGTAAGTCGTGTATAGCTCAAAGATTTGTCAGGAGACAGTTCAATGACCACAGCTCCCCTACTATTGGAGGTAAACATTACTTTTCATCTTTTCAGTTGTCATATTATATTATTATAAAGTTGAAATGCAAATAGAATAGAATGGGATAGATTTTTTTCGATTTTAGAATACTGAGTAAGAGAGTTACAATTTTAATAGGAATCTTAATTATAAAGATTAAAACACATCATGGCTAAATTCGAAATTATCCCACTATTCCTGTTAAATAACAACACCATCCTTTTCAGCATCCTTCTTCAGTCAGACCCTGTGTTTGGACGACAACAAGAAAGTGAAGCTAGATATCTGGGATACCGCTGGTCAGGAGAGATATCACAGTCTGGCTCCTATCTACTACAGGGGAGCAAGTGCAGCTGTCGTTGTGTACGATCTTACCCGACAGGTCAGAGACAAACTGGACATTTTAGTTTGTTGGAGCTTCTTAAATCAGAATAGAATAATACTATGTGTTAACTGTTCAGTAATATAAGTAAGTTATGGAGATGTTTAATTTCGGATTAAAAATGCTCAGATTTTGGAAATCAGATTGGTGGACAGTTGATAATGTTCATATAAGAAAAAGTTGGGAAATATCTTAGCATTTCTAATAACAAGCAAATTACGTGTTTGAACAGTTTTACGATCTACATTCTACAGGACACATTTGAGCATGCTCAGAAGTGGGTGGATGAGTTGAGACAACAGGTCGGAGGAGAGATCGCTATCGCTCTGGCTGGAAACAAATCTGACATGGCAGAGAGCCACATCACTGTTACTACTTCGGTTAGTCCACATGATATGTTTATCGGCTTCTTCGATCACGTGGTCACAGTATCAATCACGTGGTCATAGTGTGGCAAATATTGAAATTCTATGTTCTTAGTATTATAACTTTATGAGTTTACAGATTATACATAAAGTTATTGTTTTAATCAGAATACTGCATTTTCAGTATATTTAAGTTACTCTTATCTGATGACTTGTCAGATCTTGTTTTCTTTACAACATCTTCAGATTTGTGTAATTAAATCTAAACAATTATTATGAATTATACAATTCTGATATCATTTTGTTTGACAATAAGGTGGTCTTAGCTAGGTTTTATTAGTTTGTTCTATTACTACACAATGTTTTAGTAAGAATTGAGGGAGCCAGTTATGTCAGTAATAAAGAAACATAACGATTATCTTTGGTTTATGTGGCAAAGAAGCCTTTTATAACTCTTTATTCCATTGGGAAGTTTGATTAGGTTTTTAAAATAGGAAAATGTTTTGATAAATTTTAAAAAATATTGTATTTGATAAATAATTAATTTTGGTGGGGAAATATTTATCATATATTTTTCACATAGTGCGATGATATTTTGTAGACATGTGTGATGATGTGATGTCATACATTTTACTTAACTTAACTTTACTTTGCTTTGCTTTGCTTTACTTTACTTTACTTTACACACCCTTTTCACATCTTATGGATCAAGCTGTATACTGTAAAGTCCCTATCGTGTATAATATTGCGCAGTTACTATCATTATACATCATTGTAGGAAATCGCTGAACTTGCACAATATTTTAGAGAATTTATAAAATGGTCCATTTATTAATGTCTCACGTTATGATATAATGGTTTACTTTGAGACAAACGCCTGCAAAATAGAATTCAGTGTGAACAGTGTCATTGTCAAAGTTTCTCATATCTGGTTTCCCTGACTTTTTAAACCTCAAGGGAGTTCATCGAAAGAGATAAGAAATGTACAGTGGTCAATGAAACCGATAAATTTGTGCCATACGTCACAATTCTTTGTAACCAATCCATTGTGTCATGTGTGTTGCGAAACTGGTCGCATATTTCGCAACGTCCAATCTTTTAAATGTGATTTGATCACCATTTTATATCATCTAACTGATTTGTGGAGCTACAACAGTAGTATTAGAAACAGAGTTAGATAACTTTTAAAGGATGACCGTGGTCTGGGAACACTTTATTTAAGTGGTCACTGTAAATTAATTAATGAGGATTTGTTTAGACTGTTACCATGTAACCACTGATTGTATTGTTTTATCAATATCATGAAACAATCCGTTCTATTGTTCAGCTCCTGCAGTTGGAAACTAGATTTAGAACAACTCGTTTTTAATGTATAATTTTGGTTGAGCATGAAATGTCGATGTCAATTATTTTTGGCTCAAAATACTTGTTTTTATCTTTTCTCCTTGTATAATCCATATAATGATTATTGTATGGAGATCTAGCCCTCATAGAATTATACTGAATCACATTCCCAGAGCAGGATAAATATTATATTATTACTTTGAGATATTTCATTGTTAAAGTTAACGAGTTTATTGTTTTTAGGTAGCACAAAGCTACGCTGACGATGCAGACTTGATGTTCTTCGAAACTTCTGCTAAAACTGGAGATAACATTGAGGACACTTTTCTGGCCATTGGTATGCTTAAAATATTTGTAATATGTCTGAACACGGAAAGTGATAGGTAGCTAGCAAAATTTAGTTTGAGTCAAACACGTGTGCAATCTCCCCACTATTACCCACATATTTTATTTATAAAATATGTGATTATAATCATGATAATTTGCAAACAAAATTGCAGTACAATTCTTCTAATATTTTGATTATCTCATCACATGATGAGATCATGACACACTGGATTAGCTCAACAGTCACACAATACGGCATGTTTCCAGTTTTGGTTTAATAAGATAACAGTCACACTCATTAAATACCTCAGCAAGGAAGCTGTGCTCCGCTCATACAGAAGTAGTAGAACCCAGCAGAATACTTTTAGACGAGGAATCTGGTCAAACTCAGGTAAATTCCGGGAATATTATCCGTTACATTCAGGAGATCTGAAATATGTACTAGGTGGGAACTCAGTGAGATACGATGTTTGTTTGTTTGCACCAGTTGGCACAGTTCCAATACTTGCTCAAATATTGCCACAATCATGACATTTGATGTGCGATTGTGTATAATTGTAGAGTGTAACGCAAGACATTTCTACTCATTAAGATATTTAACGTCTATTATTGCGCTATAATTTGATACTCGAATTACTTCTCAAATTTCGTTTTTTTTCAATCATCTGATAACATTTTTGTCGCCAATTTCTTGCCACATTCGGTTGCCTCCTGTACTTGATGACATACTAATGCAGATATTGGCTCAGTGGTTGTGACACGTTATTACACTAAACCGATTAGCCTTAAAACATGTCAAAATAATCTTGCCACGCCTATTTGCACAGCGTATATCTGCTCACTAATATTTTAATTTCAGCGAGGGTGTTGCTCGAGTTTCTCATCCACCGCTACCCCACAACAATGAGAGTTTCAGACCTCCACTTCGACCAATAATCAAACGGAATTCTAGTTTTGTACGTACGAAAATATAGTATTCGCTTGACCTAAGCATTCGAGAGGCAATGTTTGGGAGATCTCATCCCGATTGAAAACTCGAAACAGACGAATTTTTGAGACGATTTTGTGAAATCATATGCTCCAGGAAAATGACATTTTAGACTTATTGTGAATGTGATATTATGAAGCACGGCGATGACAGAAAACAGAAACATTAATTTTATGAGGCAATTCTTGTCAGATTTGTTGATAGGATGTGGTTTGGTGCACAATTGTAGATCTGAGACTTCTTTTTCCAGTGTTTCGAATTCCGATCTTGTGATAAAGATATTTTCAGTAACGCGCTGTGAACATAAACATTTCTTGTGATAAAAGCAAATCTATTTTCGCGCAAGTGCGTAAGTTATTTATTTCTTAGCTGATCGAGCGAGCTAGGCTAATTTTATATTTCATCATAGTGATTAGTGTTACGCAAAAGTATAGTTTAAGGAGTGTGACAATGACAAATTGCGTTATCATGTGAAGTTGGCCCCTGGTATGTAATTTGTAGTGTCTGTCGTCACCTCACTTTGATACGTGGCCGGCTAGTTACTCGTATTGCAGATGAAGCAACAGCGTACGTACATCGACGAGTGGTCGAATGCGCGGGTACGGGAAACTATCACGTGTCAAAATAAAGCGTGTCTCCTCCGCCGAAATACATACCACATAGTTCACCTTCATTCGACAGCTATTGTAGGTCACTGTCATCTTTAAATGATGGACTCAGCTGAATTTATATAATGTTAAAATATAATGCATAAGGAATTATATAATTATCTTGTTTGGTTGGTACTATAGTGAAGTTATGATATTAGAAAAATTGTTGACATACGTTGCATGCCAATTGTTCACTGCCGGTTAATTTTTTAGAAAATCATTCATCGAGCAAGTAAAGTGAAAGAATTGGGAAAAAGCTTTAATGAGAGATCAGCAAGCATCAATTAAATATGCATCAGCGTAACCTTAACGTTTTCATATTTGTTTACGTGGATATCGGACGTTAGCTAGCTTTCCTTATTTTTAGATTTTTCCACTCTTTTAATCAGGGAACGAATAATTGTCCCAACAAGAAATAAATCGTCTTTTTCGGAATCGCGATCGTACGGTTAAAACTTAAATGTCTACCAACCGTGTTTCTAAAATAGCTCATACATGCGCCCATATTTTTAGACCACGACACATTTTATTGGATCAGAAAATTGCTTGAAGTCCAGCATGTTTAATTTTTTCATTTGTGATATCGTATTGATAATGGTATTCTGTTTTGTAAATATCTCCAAAATAAATATTATGTTGCAAATTTAATACCAGAATTTGTTTCTGATTTAACACAAATTAAACCAATCATCCATGCAAAATATTTCAAAATAGTATCACTACACGATCTCTAGGCAATAAACAAAGTCGGCCCGGGTTAAAATCATAGTCCATATCAGTCTTCACACTAGTCACTACGCACGTGTCATGGCTCTCCAGGAGTGACTAATTCTGTTGGCACCTGTGTTCTTGGTATCTTTCTCTTCCGTGTCCTTCTTTTCCTGGCCCCTTTTCGTCTCACCTATGTTGCCGTGGTGTTACTGTTAGTGAAAGTTATTGACTTGATAAAATGAAACAATTATATGGGAGCTGAGATCAATGCGTCATAACGTAGTATTGAAATGCTACATTATTAATATTATCACGAAATAGAACTTTACTCAAGATTGATGTACAAAATTGTGGTTAATTCCACGATTAGTGATTGGCGTTGATTGAATTAGAGCCTTTTCCCCATGAAATTGGCAGTTGGCACCCATTTTAATGTACGTAATATATATATTTAAACTAATTACAACACTACAAATCTATTACATTTATTGAGGATGACTGTAAAGGTACATTTTACCGACATTTGAAGTCAAGGCGTTGTTTTACTGATAGTTGTGGCTGACTAATAATATATATATATATATATATTAATAACATTCAGAAAAGTTACCACTACTAAAATTTGCTCGACAGACGAACCATTTTATTCTTTACATATGTCGACTTTTTGAATAGTCTAAGAAATACTCACTTCCATAATAGCCGTCAAAATTCCATTTAGTATTTCCTCTAGACGGGCGATGTGATTGTCTTTTCAGTCTGAAAAACTGTCTCCTCCGTCGGTCAACTTCTACATTCTCCTCTGGAATACTGGCCTCATTTTTATTGACTGTGTTTTGTGCTTCATCATCAAGTCCTTAAATAACATAACTTTAGTTACTGGATGGCCACAGTGTGATATAATATGGTGGCAGTATAAAGTTCTGTGAATAGAAATACAGAAAAAATAGAGATCAAACTTTTAAATTATATGCTGATGATTAAAAATAACTTAATTTTTAAATTCAGCAAAAGTTAGTGATAGCTAGTAGTATTGAGTGTTGTACCTGAGTTCTCCAAGTCCTGTTGGAAGCTTTTATTCGTTAATAGCACGAATCCCACAAGTAGCAATAGCCTGCAGGAATGTTTGCATCATCATCTCAGATCAAATGAATGGGGAAACTTCATGATCAATCAAACTGTTAGAAGAAGCAATCGTTCAGATTTAAAGTCGAATTATTTGGACATAAACTTCCATCCATAGAGACTTCGGAAAAATAAATAATTTTACTCACGATCTGAAAGTTGAAATATTCCCCAGGTGGTTCATTTGGAGCGATCTGTGTAGTACACTACTAGTACTAGATCTGCTTAGGAGCTCGACGAATCTGAAATGCAATATGCACTATCGACTGTTTTTGTAGCAATATATGTCAATGGGATTGGGGTGGTTTACAATTGACAATTATACCGTCATAAACAAAAGTTTAATTCTATCTAACCACGTGACCACTCATTACCAAACTTCAAACTACAAAGGAGGGAATTGTCTGTATTGTCCAGCCTTATGATTTGATGATATTTCTAATCAAATCACGAATAATGTGAGCTACCCTCCTTGACGCAGTTGTAGGACTGCTTTATCAACGAAGAATGGGGCATTATTTATGGCCAGGAAAACGCAATTAGTTTGCAGTACAATTCAATGATCTTACAAAGATGGTAGAGCAAGATTATTGCTGTTCTGCATCATAGGACTGAATCATTCTCTAACATAGGAACCTAACCTAAAGGTTAAAGATAGGCACTAGATCGTCCATTAAGATTGGATCCATTAGGGCCCATTATTTATAGTATTGTAATAGGCGTCGACCACGCTAATACTAATAGTCTGAATAGCTTTGAGCTTAAAGCCAATAAATTTCTAGACTTATACCTAAATTCTATTAAGTCCGTCGGGATATTAAATGACACTTGCAATCGCATTCGTATTCGTAATTTCCGTATGAACCAATTTGTAATTTGAATTTTTGTAATGCCACTTAGCTTAGCTAAGACCAACCTACCTGTGACTAAAGCTCTAATATACAAAAACAATACATTATATCTTTATATTAAGATACAAGAAAATGCGAGTCTCTATTTGCGGTCGAAATTTGTCCAGAACAAGAAATGCGGCCGCTTTTTTTTGTGCATGGCCGCTCAATTTCCCGATCCGTGATGGCGTATTTTATCATTTTCTATACAACCTGGGGACCCCAGTTTTTACTGTTTATAAGTATGCAGATATGGCGAAGTGACAGGCCGAGCGCCACCAAGTTAATATAATTCCATATTGAATTTGAAAATCGTGTATATTTTTAAAAACCATATGCTTATTGTTTATGCAACCTGACACCCGACACGGATGTGTGCAAAATAGTATAAGTAACTCAAAATAATAATAGTATGCTATCAATTAGTGCCTAGTGGGATATGTACATGGTGAAATTAACAATGTACTTGGTCAGTTCAGCGCCGCGCGCCAACAATAGCTAATTCGGATTATTACGCAAAATAACTTTGCGCAGGTAGTCACGTGGGCGATTACAGTGTGTGCAGGCAGGTACGGTCGCGCGCACGCTCGCAGGTACGGTCGCAAAGCTACCATATACAAAAAAAAAACCTCGTTCGCTAACCCTTGTCCTTGACTCTTTTGTGCCTTCGGCACTTTGAGTCATGGATCGGGAAAAAATCGGTGTCACCAATTGCGTTTCTGCTTTATAATACATATTAGCATAAACGATGGTTATTGGTTAATAATGATTTTGTCAAAATTTAAAATGTTCAACTGTTAACTGAGGGACTTAAAACTGCAGAAACAATGCGATTTATTGCGCATTCCTATATAAAAATGGAATCACATTTCTAAACCCAACGCTTTTGTAGAGTTGTCAAATCAGGAACTACAAAGTACAAAACAACAACAAAGCAAAGGTGTTACAAAAGGACGATAACTGGACTAGTATTCGAAATATATGACATAACCGAGCCTATTAAAAGTAGAAGTTGTAACATTTTTGAATTTTGATCATTTTCTTAAAGACTCTGGCAGCTCAGCAGCTGCACACATAATATACTTTAAGATCAACATTTTAAAATCCTCGGACAGTTTTCAAAGATGTCCGCTTTGGTGATGAACTTTAATAGAATTTGTTGCCCATTAATGATCATTAATGACAATGTCAGTGTTGGCAAAATAAAAAATACTGACATTAATGGTCGTTGCATTCCCCCCAAGATCGAGATTGTAACAGAGTTAGTACAGCTGGAGAGGATTAGCATCGCTAAATAATCCAGTAACTCTGACGGTGTAAAGCCGTAGTACATACACATTACATTACACTTATCAGACGTTGTTATTGTTAACATTCAACTTAAAAAGGAATGAAAAATACACTAGCTTATTATGTTTAATATTACTACCTTTCGATCCATAATACTGGTACACAGAACCTTTATTGTACAACTATATCACCAGCTAATAACTTGGTCCAGCAAATTATTTCCGATTTTATACACAATAAATCAAACAAAGGCATATTGACATTCAACCAATGAAAAAGTAGCATTGATTGGCGAAGTTAAGAGTATAAAATACACGTATAATCACACCAATATATTACATAATATAAATATCATCAACTTTTATTGAGACATTCGCACGTAACTTGCTATACTTATATAGTAGTAGTACTGTTTCAGAGCAGAGAAAACTTATAGCATATCATTGTTGAATTGGTCTTATCTGACTTTGACTGGAATGTTTATAGACAATAATCGGACATTCCAATAAAAATGTCCATCATGCTTTGTGACAATTTGGCAAAATACCAATTTTCTGAAATCCAGGGTATAAGGGAAACCTGCTGATCAATCCTAAAATCAATTTTAATGTGAGTGGAAATTAAATTCATGCTTTAAAAACTACCATCATATTACCGGATGTTACAGGTGTCTACATAAATCCACCAATATTTACAAAATAGCATATAAATAAAGAAGAAATACAATATATTTAACAAACAAAACCAACAGGTGATCAAGGTATATCACCTTAATCATATACAAGGTGCAGAGAACGTTACCATGTTACCATGGTTATCACGTTACCATGGTTACATGTTCTTTTGCACAAACAACACCCCAAATGCATGTTCACCGTCTTTCCATATTTCAATTTCTTCTCGTTCTAAAGAGCATTTTAATGACCAACTGTTGCACGCCCTCTATCTTTCTCATTAAATAAGCTCACGAAATTGTAAAGTTGACCGTACAGAAACATTCTCTCGAAATACATCACATCTCGAACAATCCCTGACGCAATGTTAACATGGGGACTTGTATGTTTAACCTACTGACGGCGCTCAGAGCTGGACGGATATGATCCGATAAATAGAAACCAGTTCGCTGACCATGACCAGTTACACAAAGTACTCTCGATACGACGTGCCGATATCTCGGTAGTCCATCCTAACGTCGTCCTCAGACCCAGACTCACATCCGTCCCCCGTCATTGCTTTGTCCTCGTGACCTGGGCGAGAGGGACTGCCCTCACATAGCTGATCTTCCAGTCGTCTCCTAACCACTCTAGGTTCAGCCTCTGTCTCCATGGCAACAGGATCTGAAGAAGATCACGAAATTTAGTGACAGTTGTAAGAGGTTTATAATTTTAGAGATTGTAGCTTGTATTTATGAGCGTGATAGAAATTTAGAAATTATTTCAGTGTTACTTTTAATCGGATTTGCAGTAAAAGAAAAGATCAGAAATTCACCAAATGCTTCTCTGGATATTGAGTAAATTTCTCAAAATCTAGTAATATAATATAACCTAATTAAGCTTTTAAATTAGGCGTGTCGAAAGGTGATAGTAGATATCGTATATAAGATAAATTAGTGGTAGAGATTAGTGGCATATTAGATTGGAATGATACGACGCATAATTAGGAGTATTGAGGGATGACCTACTTAATTCTTTGAATGACAGTGGATGAATGTGGAGTCCGATCATCATGAAATATTTCAATATCATTGCTGTGATCAGGTACAAGTGTGCTATCGCTTTGAACAGGTACAAGTGTGCGATCACTGCAGGCATCACTATAATTATCACAATCAGGAGTTTCCTCACTCTTATTAGCAACAACTGGCCTTCCACGTAGTTTTCCTGTGATGAAGAAAATGCAGACGATCTTTTAACTAGAATGTTTAGTGACATTTAAACAAGAATTTCGCCGCGGTAACACCACGCACGATCAAATTTCCCTACTGCATACAATTTAATTGTTCTACTTTATTGTATCCCAGAGTGGTGTTTGGCGCATGTACAATGTATGATGTAATAATCGTTTATATTATATTAGGCGTGCAGAACTTGAAAAATCCTGCGCGCATCTGAGGTGTCGCCGTTTATTTGTGATCTGTATGTGGTTTGGTTGTAGATCATTTCATACTTTGCGCGGTTTTGTTTCGTGTTAACAATAACGATATGCATATCATGTCACGTCATATAACTGCATCGTATGCCAACTTATTGACTGTAATAAAATATGCTGTTTCGTCTTAGTTATTATTTGTATCTAACATAAACTAATACATTTTTATATGTTATATTATGCTTACTCGACACATCACAGCACCATCGACTTATCAAGCCTTTTATTTGATATAGGATTCTTTAAAAGCATACCGCAATCTTGATATTACAGTATTACAGTTGCTTCTTGAATGTAACTGTAAAGTAACTTCTATTCTCAACTATGTATTCCAATGCTTTCTACCATTCAGTGTCGATGAACTGTTAAATAATCAGCCCACAGCCACGAGTCAGCTGATATCATAATTCTATTTGTTTTGACTTGCTGAATTTTATCACTCGGTAATTTATTAAGCTTGTTTCACCAAAATAACACTTATATTGATGATTATATATAATCCGTTTGTAACAGTCGTCAAGCACCAAAAACTCGTTGCTATGCCTGTAATTAATTAACTCATAACCGGCGTCGCGCGCACAAAATAGACTCCTTTTATACACATAATTATAGGGGAGTGGTCTATATTGCGAAGGAGCAGACTTTTGTCATCAACGTAGGACCGTCGGGCCACCTCATATATCCAAACCCGATTACTTATTCCCTACGATCTTTTTGCCTTCGGCAAGAGTAGGGAAAAAAATTAGGGTAGATTAGTGTCTACAATTATGTGCCTAATTCCTGTTATATGGGTAGCTAAACAAGGAAGCTGAGAGGCTCCGTACAGACCAACCTAAAGTTAAATCGTACTTTATACTTAGAACATAGCTGTAGATTGGACAGTCTAAGGTTAGATTCATATATTAAGCCGATGGCACAACTCCAAAAGTTGCCAACACCCATCAACTTTAAAAGAGACCAGAGAAGTTTAACAAGTTATGTGATGGCTTGAACTTTTCAACTACCTGGCCCAGGAAAATTTTAACGAACAGTCTGATTTTGCCGTCTGTTTTGTTAAAATAAAGCCTATATTTGGTAAATAGGACCAGATTGTTTATTTAAAAGAACAATTCTCGTGCCCGGGTGAACTGAATATTTCTTACAAAATGAAGAATTCTAGTGATGAGTGAAACTTTTAACCGACGAGAGACTGTTTTACATGATACTAACCGATAAAACTGGACAAGGAAGTGTATCTGGGGGGACTTGACTGCAACATCTCCAGAACTTTCCGCTTCTGTCCAACATTAACAGTAACATCTGACTTCAAAGGAGTACAGGTATTCAGTATTGGGGTTGAATGCAGCTGAGTGCTGTGTAGCAGAGTGCTGTCTAGCTGGGTGCTGTTCAGAGGTGTGCTGGTCTTACAGGGGGTTTTAGCCAGCCCGGCGAGAGGGTTCTTGTGGAAGGAAAAGGAGTTGGTGATAGAAGTGGTGATAGAGCTGACTGAAGGTGATGCTGTCGCTTTGGGAGTTGATGACGTCTTGACCTGAAATATGAGTATTGGTTGTTATTATCACACTTTTGTTATCGGACAAAGACTTCTTGCTTTTGTTCCGGGACAAGCGGGAAATTTTGAGATCGGCCAGATTCAAATCGAGTCTTTGCGCCACCCGCATCAGTGGTTTACGGTTTGGCTATCGCGCGCGCTGGATGGTGATATTCTATGCTGTGGAAATGGGGGCACAAGCCACCAGTAGATGAATCCATAAATTTGGAACATGGGCACATCGCAGTATTGGCCGTATCTGAGTGCTGGGAAGGCTCAGTTCGGTTTTCTAAGATGGATATAGCCGTAAGCTAGGCCTAGGAACCATCAAAAGTCGTATAAAATTACCCATGGAATGACCAGAAATGAACGAAAATGAACATTCTTCTCAAAGTGCTCATAATGGTTTGAAATGGGTCGGAAAGTGTTTACATTGGTACTAGGACCACTCAAACCAAGTTTGAGAATCACTGCATGTCTAGAACCGATGTGAGGGTGGTTCCAACTTCCAAATTTGATTTTTGTAACCATTTTGGGAACATGGGGACATCGGAGTATTGGCTGTATTTGAGTGCTGGGAAGCCTCAATTCGTTTTTCTAAGATAGATATATAGTTCAAAGCTAGGCCTAGGAGCCATCAACAGTCGCATAAAATTATCCAGGTTCATGGAATGAACGAAAATGAGCGAAAATGAATATTTTTCTCAAAGTGCTCAGAATAGTTCAAAATTTATCGGAAGTAGTTCATATTGGTCCTAGGACCACTCAAACCAAGTTTGGAAATCACTGCACGTCTAGAACTGATGTAAGGTTGTTTCCAATTCTGCCCTAATAGTCCTCCCGAGTATCCAGATTTTTAGAAAGAAAACCCCAATTCGGTTTTCTAAACAGTTGCGCAAAATCGAATCAAATTGATTGTGTTTATATTGGTCCTAGGACCACTCAAACCAAGTTTGGGAATCACTGCATGTCTAGAACCGATGTTACCAATGTTCCAAAATGTTCCAATTTTGGCACAATAATCCTCCTGAGAATCCAGATTTTTGGAACATGGGGACATCGAAGTATTGGCTGTATTTAAGTGCTGGGAAGCTTCAATTCTGTTTTCTAAGATGGATATAGGTAAAAACTAGGCCTAAGAGCCATCAAATGTCAAATAACATTACCCAGGTTCATGGCATGAACGAAAATGAACAAAAATGAACATAGTCCTAAAAATGCTCAGAACGGTTTAAAATTGGTCGGAAAGTGTTTATATTGGTCCTAGGACCACTCAAACCAAGTTTGGGAATCACTGCATGTCTAGAACCGATGTTACCAATGTTCCAAAATGTTCCAATTTTGGCACAATAATCATCCTGAGAATCCAGATTTTTGGAACATGGGGACATCGAAGTATTGGCTGTATTTAAGTGCTGGGAAGCCTCAATTCGATTTTCTATGATGGATATAGGTAAAAACTAGGCCTAAGAGCCATCAAATGTCAAATAACATTACCCAGGTTCATGGAATGAACGAAAATGAACGAAAATAAATATTGTCCTAAAAATGCTCAGAACGGTTTAAAATTGGTCGGAAAGTGTTTATATTGGTCCTAGGACCACTCAAACCAAGTTTGGGAATCACGGCATGTCTAGAACTGATGTTACCAATGTTCCAAAATGTTCCAATTTTGGCACAATAATCCTCCTGAGAATCCAGATTTTTGGAATATCGGTTCTAGACATGCAGTGATTCCCAAACTTGGTTTGAGTGGTCCTAGGACCAATATAAACACTTTCCGACCAATTTTAAACCGTTCTGAGCATTTTTAGGACAATTTTCATTTTCGTTCATTTTCGTTCATTCCGTGAACCTGGGTAGTGTTATTTGACTTTTGATGGCTCTTAGGCCTAGTTTTTACCTATATCCATCTTAGAAAACCGAATTGAGGCTTCCCAGCACTTAAATACAGCCAATACTTCGATGTCCCCATGTTCCAAAAATCTGGATTCTCAGGAGGATTATTGTGCCAAAATTGGAACATTTTGGAACATTGGTAACATCGGTTCTAGACATGCAGTGATTCCCAAACTTGGTTTGAGTGGTCCTAGGACCAATATAAACACTTTACGACCAATTTTAAACCGTTCTGAGCAATTTTAGGACAATATTCATTTTTGTTCATTTTCGTTCATTCCATGAACCTGGGTAATGTTATTTGACTTTTGATCGCTTCTAAGCCTAGTTTTTACCTATATCCATCTTAGAAAACCGAATTGAGGCTTCCCAGCACTTAAATACAGCCAATACTTCGATGTCCCCATGTTCCAAAAATCTGGATTCTCAGGAGGATTATTGTGCCAAAATTGGAACATTTTGGAACATTGGTAACATCGGTTCTAGACATGCAGTGATTCCCAAACTTGGTTTGAGTGGTCCTAGGACCAATATAAACACTTTCCGACCAATTTTAAACCGTTCTGAGCAATTTTAGGACAATATTCATTTTTGTTCATTTTCGTTCATTCAATGAACCTGGGTAATGTTATTTGACATTTGATGGCTCTTAGGCCTAGTTTTTACCTATATCCATCTTAGAAAATCGAATTGAGGCTTCCCAGCACTTAAATACAGCCAATACTTCGATGTCCCCATGTTCCAAAAATCTGGATTCTCAGGAGGATTATTGTGCCAAAATTGGAACATTTTGGAACATTGGTAACATCGGTTCTAGACATGCAGTGATTCCCAAACTTGGTTTGAGTGGTCCTAGGACCAATATAAACACTTTCCGACCAATTTTAAACCGTTCTGAGCAATTTTAGGACAATATTCATTTTTGTTCATTTTCGTTCATTCAATGAACCTGGGTAATGTTATTTGACATTTGATGGCTCTTAGGCCTAGTTTTTACCTATATCCATCTTAGAAAATCGAATTGAGGCTTCCCAGCACTTAAATACAGCCAATACTTCGATGTCCCCATGTTCCAAAAATCTGGATTCTCAGGAGGATTATTGTGCCAAAATTGGAACATTTTGGAACATTGGTAACATCGGTTCTAGACATGCAGTGATTCCCAAACTTGGTTTGAGTGGTCCTAGGACCAATATAAACACTTTCCGACCAATTTTAAACCGTTCTGAACAATTTTGAGACAATATTCATTTTTGTTCATTTTCGTTCATTCCATGAACCTGGGTAATGTTATTTGACTATTGATTGCTCCTAGGCCTAGTTTTTACCTATATCCATCTTAGAAAACAGAATTGAGGCTTCCCAGCACTTAAATACAGCCAATACTTCGATGTCCCCATGTTCCAAAAATCTGGATTCTCAGGAGGATTATTGTGACAAAATTGGAACATTTTGGAACATTGTTAACATCGGTTCTAGATATGCAGTGATTCCCAAACTTGGTTTGAGCGGTCCTAGGACCAATATAAACACTTTCCGACCAATTTTAAACTGTTCTGAGCATTTTTAGGACAATATTCATTTTTGTTCATTTTCGTTCATTCCATGAACCTGGGTAATGTTATGCTACTTTCGATGGCCCCTAGACCTAGCTTGCAACTATATCCATCATTTACAATTATTTTTGGCACTATTTAGAGCTTATTAGGGCAAATAAATGCATGGCACACTTTTGGCACAATTTTGGCACATGTTCCAAAAATGTTCCAAAAATCTGGATTCATCAACTCCAAGCCACGGCGTCGTTAAGTCTTAATGTTGATCAATCATCGGTATCTTTAGGAAAATATGCCAATTCTTTTGTCGCGAAGATACCAATAATATCTCAGCACAAATAGAAAATTAAATTTGATTAGACGATATTCCTAAATCAGTTCGTATCGGGATAATTGAACTTACGTGTAAAAGTTTGGAAATGCTATTGCCAATGTTCCTCCGAGTGCTTTTTGTTCTTATCATTGGCGAATGACTCACATTGTTGAGCTCCATAATATAATGTGGGTATTCTTTCTCGAACTGAAACATTGTACGCATATATTAACAGGCGAGTCATGTATAAAACTGTCATACGAGTACAATGTACATTATATACGCATATATTAACAGGCGGGTCATGTATAAAACTTTTCTGTCATTAAAACCCAGTGACGTGGCAATTTGCATTTCGCAATGATATATGACACATCATTTGCGCGGAAAAAATGTTGGCACAACACCAACTGGAAGAAAAACAAACAGGAAAACATATAAACTATGCCCAACCCTATAAAATTTTTGGGAGTAAAGTTACAAAATTAAGTTTTAAACAGGTACCTTTTTTAAGCGTGAATTCTTGTCCTTGCCCTCAGGCATTTGCTGAAATGCCTGAAAAAAGAATACAATTCAGTTTCTGAAGAATTCCCACGATAGTTCACAAAAAACTACCATAACTTACCATGCATGATAGTTAAAACATATGATTAAAATAACCTCCTGAACAGTTTGTGCTTCCCAAAACTAACCGCCCTGTCCGCCAATGAAGCATATCGTTAATAGCCCAACCAATTGGCAATTCATTAAATATGTTAAAAACAGGGCGAGTTGGACCACGCCGGAGAAGCCGCAGCAACTGCAGCATAACGGATTATCGGAAACATAAAAAAGCTCCACAAGTAACATTTTGTACACTCTGGAACAGTACACACGAGGTACACACTAACTTTGTATAGCTCTAGGAGGTGCTGTTTAGTTTGGGAATAAACAACATCCTTGTGGAGATCTCCGCTCATCTTGACACAGTTGCTGGCTATTTCCACTGGGATCTCCTCGCATGATTCCCCCCTCTGAAGGCGAGCTTGGTATTTGCTCGCTGTCTGTTCCAGATCTCTTGGTACCTATGGCACAACTCTGTTAGTGGAAATGGACGGAGGTAAAAATAGAACATATTTCACATTCCAACTAATAGTAAATGTAACTTTCGAGCAAGTCTGTTATTGTTAAAACATGGAAAACTGGGACGAAACAGCCACTGGCGGGGAGAGACAATTGAAATAGTACAGCTAGGTCTCATCAAGATCTGTCAACAAAGTATATCTTACACCCAGTTTGGTCCCAGTGTGGATATACCAGACATGTACAGCCCCAGGGGTGTATCATCAATCATGTACCATTAGACGGACCCTCCGTTTAAATACAGGTGTGGATATCATCAGATTAAGCTATTATTTATAGACTGAATGTTTCTAATTTTATCAGTCTATAATATCATGTCCTATCTTAAGGTCTAGATTTATTTAGACCTTAAGATAGGTCTAAATAATAGTGGCTATATTAAACCTTTAAGTCCTACATTATTAGCGTCGAGATATCCGCGATAATAGCACGGCTTGACACGACTTCTTTATTTAATCTCTTGCTTTGTTAAACGTTTTGTTTAATCCCACATGAATAATTAACAAGACACGAGTCTGACGCTCTACCAGGCAGCTTGCAATCCAGCCAGCCAATTAAAATACACTGAAGTCAAATATAAAACAATTACCCTACACTTCTCAGCTTTACACGGATCAATCTAGCTGCCCATCTTGGTCTGGCTCTATGATTTAGTTAGGTTGGGTTTAACTTGGAGACTTTGTATATAACAGTGAGCAAGTGTTGAGAGTATGCGCAGTATGTCCAGGAAACAATCTCCTGGATCAGAGAGAGGGAGCCCTGGAGCACTTGAACCCTACAGTGTTATATAACAGATAGTGTGCCCTACGTCTATAGCAGAGGGCACGGATGTGTGGCTTCCTCACTCGTACATATATATTGTACCGGGGACGTTTCTTGCACCGCAATTATGTACAGTGTGGTGATGATCTATATTTTGACAGGAACTAACAACTCTGATTCTATGAATTCGGACCAAACTAGGGTTTACAAAAATTTCAAGTTATGATTTCAAAAATGTAATTTTACAAAAATGCCGTTCATGATCAAAATGTGTATGTTATTGTGTAGCAGCATCGCTATAAATTGCATGGTTGAAATCTGTAACAAATTTATATGTAATTGCAAATTCCAATTTAGATTAAGACACAATCAATGCATCTAAAACATCATCATTACGGACAAACCTTGAACAAGGTATCCGAATTATTTATAAGATACGCAGTGTATGTCACTAGATCGTCTAGCGGGTCAGACATTGTACTGTTTCCCAGACACATGTTCGCTGCAGTCTCCATCTGCTTTGATTTTAGGATGTGGGGAGCGAAGATCAACCCCAAGTTGTGGTAGTCCATCAGAGAGTGGGGGTTCAGTGCTACTTCCGAGAGGAGCATTAACAACATCTGTGGGAAAGAGGGGTGTTAGTCAGAGAGTGGGGGTTCAGTGCAACTTCTGAGAGGAGTATTAACAGCATCTGTGAGAGGAAGTGGTGTTAGTCAGAGAGTGGGGGTAATTATTGATAACTGATATAAACTAAACTAATTAGCTAATTCCACATATAAATGGCCATCTCTCATTGATAAATTTGGAACTGAATACTAAATGATAACTCCAGTCCTATTATATAATAACAAAGGATTCATGTGAGCAGATTGGTAATACTACTATCTATAGATCAGCTGTGATAACTATCTTGTATTATAATCTCTAGAGGAAAGAAACCTGCTGACAGTTCTGTTTCAGGCTATCTTAACCGGAAATTTGATCATTTGATCAACTTGGACCAAGTAATGTTTATCAAATCTGTGTATATAGAGAAACTAGTGTCTTTCTTAAACGTGCTTTATATTTCAATTCAATATGGAAAATTCGACTATTAAGCTTTTCTTTCTTCTCCAATTAAGAATTTTTTTCTTCTCTTAAGAATACAGTATATTTGATCATATTTCAATATACAAAAGCATGAGAAGTTATTGATAATGATAAGCATGGCAGTCAAAATGTTGAATCTGCCTGAAAAGGCCGTATACTTATAACAGTTAAAAATGTCAGCCCCGACAGAAAATCCCTAAAAATTGCATACCTTTAGAAACATCCTGTTTTCCTCCGGTAATAGCAGCAACACAAGTTGTAGACACTTTAACTTCTTTTCCCCGTCCGCTAACTCTGAAAATAACATAATTTTACAGTTTAGTACACCCCCACATTACTTCATTACACTGTGGACTGTGGGGTGAAAGCTTGTGTAACAATGTAAACATTAGTAAACGTGAAGTTGACTGGCACTGCAATGTAGCGCTGGTGCCAGGGCGCCGTTATCTCCAACTAACCCATTAGATCACACCCACAGATTCAGAGCAGGTTACAGGGTTAAGTGAGTCTACATTGGAGGAGCAGGTAATTGAGGAAACACGTGACTGCATTTAATATCGCTAATTGCGTTACTATTTTATAATACATTCACACAGACTCAAGCCATTTTTTGGGAGAAAAGTACATGTCTTTTTGTGGAAATACCTGTACAAAACGTTGTGGAATTTTATGCAGCAGTAATATTAGGAATGTGAAGTTGATAGATTTAATTATGGAAGAGAATGCAAGCTAAAAATTAGCATCAGAGATTACAATGCATATCATAATTTAAGGAATGCAAACGTGTAATTATTGATCAATGATCCCAATCTGAAATATTACATTTTACACATCACGCACCTCACGCACCTCCCGATCACCTCACGATCACCTTACTTAAGACTGCTATTTATAATACCCCTGACTAAGAACATGATTAAATCTGAAAAGTCGTACATTTTAAATTTATCTCCCTAGAAAAATAAGAATAAAGATCTGCACATCCGGTAACTGTAATTATAGATAGAAAAATACATTGATATCGAACAATAAAGATAGTTCAGAATCTCAACTATCACGTACTAGCGATCTCGATGTGAATAGGAATGTGTTTTTCACACAGTAGAGGTTCGGGCAGCTCAGCAACATACTGCTTCAGTACGGACGCTGCATCGTGGACTGTAAACTCCTCCTGCTCCGACCAATCGATAACGTTACCGTGACTATCCAACAACTTCTTGATGTCTTTTATACGCTTGTTGGATCCACACTTCCGGAATATTCCCTCGTAGTGCACGTCTGAAGAAGGAGGGACATTAGTTTATAGATTGTAAGAGAATTAGATACTTAGAGATTACATAATATGGCTACGCGACAATAAGGTGCCTTGAGATTTAGCTACCTAAACAATTAACAAGCAGATAAAGAGATAAATCACCGTGAGACCCCGTATCTTAGGGGGCCTTAGTGTCGGCCACTGTATTATATAATTAACAAATGGGGGTGAGATTAATTGTGCAGAAAGAACAGCGAGCTGGTATGCAGGACCGTGGGTTATTTTATTCTATGGACAAAGATATACTATATACCAGGTATGTTTTGTTATTTTAATTTTTTTTAAAGAGCAAGGAATACGCTGAAAGTATTTTGTTAGGCACGAGTTTAAATTTCTTATCATTTTCGTGGTATTCCCGCGAGATTTTCTATTAAAGTGTAATCTGAGTCCAAACAACAGCTCTCAAAACGTCATTACAGCTGTAACGGTGTTTGTAGCAATGTTATAATATCGGCTGTAATGTTTTGCGGAACAAGTCTTCACATTTTGAAAATATTGGTGAATCTACTTTAAATGCTGTCTAAGAAATATAATAATATAACAATACATTTTAAAAGGAATAGAATTGACAGAAGACGTCCAAGTAATGAATCAGGATCCCGGGTCCTAATGATAGAACTTCTCGAGCTATTAAGGGGACCGGGGGTTTTAATGAAGACCCCCCGGCCCCCCCCCCCCCCCCCTTAGGGAACCGGGTATCTAGGGGGTATCAGCTAGAGTAGGAATGTGTAAGATGTTAAATATGTCCCAAATTATGCGCTAACTCCGCCAAGTAGTCGGGTTTGGATAAATAAAAAATAAAATGCATTTTCACTAGATTGAAATGCAAATTATAATAAAACAATCTGGTGGATTCGTGTCGTGTTATTGAGTCTCATGATTCAAGTTTCAACAACATAATTTTTTAATACTTTCAACACTGCTATATAACAAATAATTTGAGATCATAAATACGATGTTGTAACATTGAAATGTTGAGTAATTCCTTTCCTGATAAGAGCATTTTTCCTAGTCGCATCAAACGGGATCAATACAAATTTACACAAGAATACATTGCAACCATGCGACTCATATAAACAATATATTCCAATCCGGATTTTACACTTTCAACACTACTATAATATGACAAATAATTTGAGAATATGAGTACATGCTACATGCTACATGAAGAGGTCTCCTCCTAGTCGTTGGAGTGGCCTGCATCACACACATCTCTTCTAACATGTTCCTCCATTCCACTCGCTTTAAAGTTTAGAGCCAACTGTTTTACTGCATCTCTGCTGATGTTATCGACACCTGTAAATTCCGCCGCATCCTCGAGTACACAGGCCATCCAGCCTTTACGGGGTCGTCCTCTCAGTCTCTTTCCATAGTTTGGTTTCCAATCCAGTAAGAAATTGGGAAACCGCGTCTCTGGCATTCTGACAACATGTCCGTACCACCTTAGTCTAGCCGCACCGATGAAAGTTTCGATAGACTTAATTCCAGCACGCCTGAGAACTTCTTCATTGGAGACATGGAAGAACCACTTTATCTTCAAGATTCTTCTCAGGGAGGTCAGATGGAAGACCTCAAACCGTTTCATCTGCTTCTTTGTTGTGTTCCAAACTTCAGCTCCATATAACAGAATGGTAATAACAGCAGCCTTGTAGATACGGATCTTGGTGGGCGTTCTTATAGTTCGACTGTTCCATATCTTCCAAAGCTGATGGAACGCACCATTAGCACGCTGGATCCTGATGTCAAGATCTCGGTCAATGGTACCATCCCCACTGATGTTGGCACCAAGATAAACAAAGTTGCTGACCTGTTCAACAGGTTCTCCCTCCACTGTTAGCTTTATACTGTCTCTTTCGGTGTAAGGTCGCTGGGACGCACACTTGCTGATCGCCATGCATTGTGTCTTTTCAGCGTTGATCTTTAACGCAGCATAAGAGGTGTAATAAGCTATAAGATCAGTGGACTCTTGTAGCTCTTCTTCAGTATTGTCCATCACTGCCAGATCATCAGCGTAGTCACTATCCATGATAACTTTTTCATCTGCACCCTTTAGTTCCTTTTGCAGTACTGCACCATGACTGATTGCCTTGTGAACCTCGGCCAAAAAGATTCCAAAGTTCAGACAAAAATTAAATACAGGAGGGCCCTGGATATCACCCTGTCCAGTGCCCGAATTAACAGAGAACCAATCAGACAACCAATTTCACCATTAACCCTGAAAGCACTCATGGTTCCGTTGAAGAATGCCTGAAAGATTCTAAAATATTTCTCAGGAAGTCCATAGTGTCTCATGCTTGACCATGAGTATGACGTAGAAATGTTTATTTACATTAGAATCTGTCTTCACTGAGTCTATTGCTCAGGAACAATCAGAAATTTTATTGAAAGAAATGTAATAAAATATGTCCGGCAAAGCTTTATTTCAATTTCCTAAATTATATAACAATTTACTAATTATATCGGTAATTGATAACAATTAAAATGCAGCTAAATCTCCTCAAATAATCTCAGTAAATAAAATCTGTGCCACTGTTACAAACTGAACTTCTTTCTAGTGTTTAGTTTCACCACAACTGATATTATGGAGCTTAAACGTCGCTATAATTTAAATTTTAAAACTGTCATATTTTGATTGCTTCAAACTGGCCCTTGTAAAATTTCTATAACGGCCAAATCCTGGCCTGGCACAAAATAATGTCACCCATCCGCCTTGCAAAGACAACTAAGGAAGACGGCAGCATTTGTTTATTATGGAAAATAGTCCCACAGAAGACTCGACATTTGAACTGATGAAAACAATAATTATATTTTGCACACAATATGATTTGAATATTATGCTGTAACATAATGCAGGAAAATATTCCGGTTTTTTTTTTCATATTATATTAAGCCACCCTAATTTCGCATGTCCTGCATGTCGATTTTTGCTTTAAACGAATTAAATTTGTAAATCTCCACGATCAGTGAAACATGAGGCTACGTCCAGAATAGATAAATATGCTTGCAAGATTTCTTATCGTTTTGCTTTACTTAGTTGTTCGCTAAACTTAAGTTGTACACTCGTTCTAAGTAATAATATCATATTTTGCTATTCCGTCTTTACAATTATATTATATAATGCGTGATACACTTCTGACAGTGTATCTTTAATAAAATTAATGTTGTTATTTTGAATATTTTCTGATCTCATGAATGGAAAAATTGTCGGGGGCCGGGACTAAGTTAATGATTCTTCACTGTCCTTAGAACCGAACAAAATTCGATTTTGTAGGCCAGTGGTAAACGTGGTCATTATTCAACTGAATCTAAAGCCACGTCCAGGTTGCACTTGTTCATTCCATTTCTTATCGTTTTACTTTTAAATACTCCGAACTAAAGTTTTACACTCGTTCAACTATCTCGTATTCTGTTATTCCTTCTTTTGAATTAGATACGCACTTCTCACTGACAATATTCTCAAAAACTTTCTAAAGAATGTTCATTTCGGGCACGTTGAACAAACTTCGTTAAGCTCCGGTTGGATAATGACCACGTCTAACACCAGGCTTCTACCGGATTCTTTAGAGCTCTAACAGAATTCTAGCCGGCAGCCTGGATTTAGTCACAAGTAAATTAGATTAATTATTAGATATATTGCCATTTTTATTATATTTGCCATTCCTTCTAGAGTTCGTTTCTCTGAATTTTATTTTCATTTTGTAAGGTTGCAGACAGTGCAGTGTGGTTATTGGTGGTGAGATCTTGTCAGGATGGACGTAAGTAGCACTTTTAAAGTGAACATTACAAAATTTCTTTACATTGCTTACGAAAAATTAGTCGCTGCAGTTATTTATAATTGTGCATTAATTATCATTATGATTTAAGATTCCGAAACAAATTATGCAAGTGAAGCTGTTACTTTTCTTCCTGCTTTGACATTTGTTTCAGACTGAAGAAAGAAAAGTGGCTGCAACGCAGAAGAGGAACAGGTCGTTCCTGGCAGTATTGTTGGTAGTACTGGTAATACTCGCAATAATCATCGTGGTAGTCGTGGTTGTAGAAACCAGGAAGAAAGGCGACAGTATGGCGGTTGCATCTGATAACGATGTCTGTACTAACATTGGCGCTGATATTCTGAGAAGCAAAGGAAGTGGGGTGGACGCTACAATCGCTGTCTTGCTCTGTTTAGGAGCTGTTCAGCCACAATCTAATGGGATCGGAGGAGGAGGTTTTATGTTGGTTCATACCAAGGACGATGATAAGGTCATCAATTTCCGTGAGAGAGCCCCGGCTGCCTCAAGTAAAAGTATGTTTAACTCGGATGAAAACATGGCTAAAGACGGGGGGTTAGCAAGCGCTATTCCCGGAGAAATCCTCGGTTATTGGAAAGCACATCAAAAATATGGCAAATTAAAATGGGAAGACTTGTTCAAGCCTTCTATCGAGATACTAAATACAGGTATTGTGGTGACCGAACATATGGAGAGGGCCTTAGAAAACCTTAAAGATAAGTTGATTGATGACGTTAACTTTAAATCAACGTTTTTTAAAAGTATCGATTCCGATGGTTTTAAACCTCTAAAAGCAGGAGAAAAATTTACGAATCCGATGCTGGCTTTAGCATATCAGAAAATATCTGAAGAAGGACCTGATGGATTCTACAAAGGCGAGATTGCAGCCAATATCGTCAAAGCCACCGAAGCGACAGGCGGAATCCTTACCTTAAAAGACTTGGAAGGCTACACTGTAACGATCGATGAGCCGTTTAAGTTTGAATATAGAGGACAGAAGATCATTTCAGCTCCTCCTCCAGCCTCCGGTCACGTGATAGCACTAGCGCTACAAATCCTTGACAATTTCGATATTCCATCGTTTAGTAAGGTGAAAGCTTGGAACTATATATTAGAGGCAATGAGGTTCGGTTACGGCATGAGGAGCAGAACAGGAGACCCAATCTACTCTACCAAAACAAAAGAAGTTGTAAAGTTGGTCCAAGGGAAAAACTACATGGAGAAGATAGTAAAAGATCACTTCTGGGGAGACAAGTTGATCCCATTTAAATATAGAAAAATGTACAGTGACCCTATCTACACCAACTATGACGGAACCCACACCACACATGTATCTGTACTGGGCCCTGATGGAGAAGCCGTTTCTTGTACGTCCACTGTAAACTTGTGGTTTGGATCACGTGTCATGACTGATAACGGAATCGTTATGAACAACGAAATGGACGACTTCTCCATACCAGAGAAGCTTAATGCATTTGACTACCGGCCCTCGCCTGAAAACTTCATACTTCCTGGTAAGAGACCTATGTCTTCCTCCTCCCCCTCAATTGTGTTCGACAGTGACGGGAAGGCAACATTTGTGACGGGGGCAGCCGGTGGCTCTAGAATCATCTCATCAACCTTACTGTCGCTGATAAATGCCATGGACTGGAAAATGACCCTAACGGACAACTTGAAGGCAGTTAGAATCCATGATCAGCTGAGTAACAACAAGACTTATCACGAAGATTTGGATTTTATAACGCCACTTGACCCTGAAATAGAAACTGGTTTAAGCACTTTAGGATACAATATGACAGCTATAGAGGGTGTGAGAAGTGCTGTAACCAGCGTCTCCAAGCTTTTAGGCATAACAGAAGCCACAGGTGACCCGAGAAAGAAAGGAACTGGAATTGTCATCAATTAATTTACAAGTTATGTATTTAAGTTTTCATAATTATCTACAGATTTTTACCATCTTTAACTCTAAGTTTTGGGGCGTAGCTTCTCTGTGGTGGCTCCAAAGATCTACAATCGTCGGCCTGATACCATTTCATCGGCTCAATCACTGGAATCATTTAAAGCCCTTCTAAAAACGTTTCTGTTTAAACTGCCCCTTCATAAACTTGAAAAACTTTATTGATAATTTTATTTTAGTCAATATTGGTGTTCGATTTTTACATTTAAGTATCATTTTCTGTCATTAGACTTAGCAGCAATAGCAGCAAATCTGGGGAAACTTTGAAATACACCAATTTGAAGCATTTAACCCCCCCTTAAAAATCACAGATTATGAATTTTAGTAATCTGAATATTTACATAGGTCCAAAAATGTCATAGCTTCATGATAGTGCAACGAAAAAAATCTCAGAACATTTTGGTGCGGAGTTAGGTGGTTAAGTAGTCGAAAAATGACTGATTTGTTAGTGGACATTTTTTCATACCTCTAACACCCAAACCCTTACTACAGTGAAGATATAAGTACTACAGTTAAAATTGATGGTCATTATTGAACAAAAATGGTTCATTGACACATAGTTGAAGAAAGAAATTAAAAAAGTTAATAATTGGGTCTGTGGAGTGGTATATATATAATGTTTATGTTATAGTGTATGCCTGCGCGCGCGTACTTAACCATCTGTAGACCAACATATTTAGTTTATGCTTAATTTCTTTATATATCATGTCACCACTAGAGTGCCCAATACTTTTAGTGAAGGTCTGATGTAAAACGGTTAACCACCAACTGTGGTATATCAGAAAAACCCATATGTGTATGAGTGCGCGCGCGCACGTACTTAACCACCTGGTATGGCACAGCATTGAGTTATCACCATAATTCCAAAAACAGAAGACACTATTCAGGTGCCCAAAACTTTTGGTTATGGTCCTGATACCATAAAACCTTAGATGTGGCCTCAATGTGGTTAAAACATGTTTATTTTGGACCTTCGGTCAACAGAAGCCACCACAAATTAACCATTATTCAGCAACCACCGAACTTTTGGTGCCTTATTTGTATTGATATTTGATTATGAGAGATAGCTGAAGGATAATAAGTGATTTTAAAGATAGTGTAACAGAATGTGTGGCCGTATGGCGGTTAAAACTTCCAAAAACACTGATTTAGGCCAATTTTAGACCTTTATTAACCATGATGGACGCAACACAGGACTCAGCAATGTTTCTGTGCATATAAATGAGCTGGTAGTTATATCTAGATAATGTAGCATGGCCAGCTATAGCTTTACAAAGCTAATGTGTGCTCTAAAAATGGTTAATTAGTGCAAATATAGGGTATTTTCGAGACATTTTAACCACCTTAGCTGCACATTGATCAGAATGCATGAACTTCGAGTCAATTATGCATTTGCAAACAAATATACATTCAATCGGATAGCAATCCATTATCTGAAGTTCATATTGTGGTTAATGTCCACTTTAATAGATGCCTTGTTCAACAGCCTAGCAAGTCATATAGCCCTTTTAACCACTTTTATGACAACATTTCTTGATAACTTTTATCAAAACCCTTCAAATGTTCTTTGTTGACCAGAAAAAGTTGACTAAAATCATTAATATTGTTTTGATTGGTGGTTAACAAAATATTTTGACGTTTTAACCATCTTTTTAGCACTTTTTACGAATATTAAACCACCTAAAATTAACCATACTATTGAATTGCACATCTGTGATGAAAAATTATCATCCATGTACAAATGAACAACCACCACTATACATCTATAACCAGAGCAATATTTATTGCTCATCGTTCATCTTCCATTTAACCACCATTAGGACCACAAAATGCCCCCAATGAGGGTTATTAACTTTTGTAATCATTGCACCATGGGATGATCTCAATATAATGACTACTCAGTTTATAATATCATATCTCAAAATGGTGGTTAACCCTAAAACTGGTATTTTAACCACCATAGTGGCCACATGGAGGATTCATTAACCTCAATTATTCAACATAACTGTACTGCAGTGTTTTGTGCGCCAGAAAAACATCACCCCAACATTGAGATTAACCACAATAAGCTGCAATATCATGTTGAAGTCGACATACACAAATTTTGTGAAAAAAGTCAATGTCCACCAAGTTTCCCCAGATTTGCTGCTATTGCTGTTAGCGATATATATTTTCAAGCATACGTTACCAGTCCTTATCTTATTCAAGTACTTTTCTGGGATGTTTAGATTTTAACACTGCTGAGTATAAGTTTTATAGTGGTGTTATTAAACTTCAATTTATTATTATTATTCTATGATACAACTTATTGTTTCATTGATTAGAGCAATAGACTATATACAACAAACCAGTATTTTAGCTTTAATCTGAAAAATATGAAATGAAATGAAATGAAATGAGGTATTTATATCCCGCTCATATGATTAACCAACAACACAAGGAAGGTGGTTAACCATGTCAGAGCGGCTGACTGTGAGTGATGTGAGCAAATGTGTAAAAATGAACAAGAGTGTAACGTAATATTAATATAAGACCAAGACAAAATTAAAACATCTTTTATTTAAAACCACACTAAACTAAAAAAAAAAGAAAAAAAGCAGAGACCATACAATACATGTAGGTATAATAAAGGTTAGTACAGTGACATAGAAAGGTAGAGAACTTAGACATAAAATGGAGTGCGGTAAGAGATAAAAGCCAAGGTGTCTTGCAAAATGAAGACAAATGGAAAGAAAAAACAGCAAAACTGATTATATAAATGGTTCTTTAACATTCGCTTGAAGGATTTGGTATCAGTAATACATCTCAACATCAGTGGAAGAGAGTTCCATGCAATCGGTGCATGGCTTGAGAAACGTCTGTCATCAACTTTGGAATTTTTATTCTTTGGTAACTTGAGCATGAGATGGTCATCAGGTCTCTTCGACCTGGTCATGGTCATGGTGTTTGAGAGTTCTTTATCCGCTACATCCAAATCCAGTAGTGCTTTGAGGTAATCAGGTGCAGTACCGTGAACTGATTTGTGGGTTAATAGACAAACTTTAAAGAATATTCGTTGGTCTATAGGGAGTATGTGGGCCTTCTTATAGAAGGGAAACAAGTCCGTGGTTCTGTCTTCTATGTTATAGATGAAACGAACTGCCCCATTAAGGGTGGATCTAAGTTTGTTTAGTCTGGTCTTGGGTAGATTCATGTATAGAGAATTACAGTAATCTAACTTAGATATAACCAGTTGTTTCACCAACATCAATTTAATGCCTTCATCCAGGTAACGACCAATAGTTCTTAGGTTCATCATTGTCCAGCTACATTTCCTTTTGACATTATTGATCTGTCTTTCCATATTTAAAGTTTCATCAAATTTGACACCCAGACTGTTCCAGCTGTCTCCTTTGCACTCCGTAGGTAGAATTTCAGTGCTTCCAAATTGCAGTCTGACACTGAGTTCACACTTTTTTAGAATATGGCTCTTTCCTAACACCAATAGTTCTGTCTTACTTTCATTCAGTTTCATGTAATTCTTCACCATCCATGCTTTTATTTCTGCGAGACATTTGTTTGTTCTGTCTTGGACATCAGTGAACTGTACCACACGGTTTGGTTGAAATGAGATGTACAGTTGAGAATCATCTGCATAGAGCTGTATCAACAAAATAAATTATAATATTATCTCATTATATCAAAACTTCAAACAACTCACTTTGCTTCAAAAATATTAGCAGCTTCTTTAACTTAGTAGGCATCTCTTTTGGTAGGGGACGACCAAAGATGATTTCACTGTCTCCTGAAGAGTTATCATGTCTTCATAATTCACTAATCGGTAACAAGACAAATTTACAAATTCAGAAAGTATCGTATTAATCTTTTCTCAAAAATTTATAAGTGTCAAAATAGTAAGTCACAAACCAGTGTTAGTTTCATTTCCATTTTGAAACAAAGTTTTAGCAGCACTTGTTATGTCAAAGAACACGTTTCTTCTTACAAGGGATGAGTTGTCTGGGGACCCTTGTTCGTCACTGGTACTGCTTTTCTTCTTGTCTGGACTTCTGCAAGAAAATATAATGTTTATACACATAAGAAAATTCAATTGAATATGTATCCAAATACTGAGCTGCGGGTCATCAAAATAGATCTGAATAGATAACAATTGAATTTTAAAATGTAGATTAAGCACACTGATATAGATATAATGAAAAAGATTACAAGTCTTAAGCCATATTCTCACCCAACAAGTTCAGAGTAGTTTGGAATATCGATGATCTGTGAAATTAGACTCAATATTATCATGAAAATGCTTTCTGTTCCTTTCAGTGTATCCATCTTGACTAGAATATACTATAAGTCAGAAAAATGAGAGAAATTGAATACTAAACGTAATGCATATATATTTATATATCAAGAGTGTAAGTCTAAATTAAAATGGTTCAATATAGTAGAAACTCTTACGGGCATTTTCTGCTCAATAATAATATGCTAGGGACCAATTTTTTCCATCAACTTTATAAAAAAGTATAAGATGGTTAGAAGTGGTAGGAATTTAGGATGGGTATAGAAGGTAGGTAAGTTTTTCGTGTCACAAAGGAAAACATGTGCTCCTTCATATTATCACCCGATGGTCGCGCATACATCTGTTATACATTTTGCTATGTATTAATATTTTTTGTTCAAGCTTTTGTTTACTTCATGCAATACAAACTTCTTATTTTGTTGTGGGTGCTTGGTGCTACCACAGACTTGGCTCCCGATATCAGTAATCCCTTTATATATTGTTGCATAAATTATGATGTTGATGTTATGTTGAACATGATTGCAGAGAGATTGAATTATTACACGAAATGGACGATAGATGTTATTATGATTGACATTGTATTACCTACCACAGATTTCACGTCTATCAATTTGTTTAATGCAACATCTTATGTAAGCAACCATTCGTTCACATGGCTTGACATTGTATTACCTACCACAGATTTCACGTCTATCAATTTGTTTAATGCAACATTTTATGTAAGCAACCATTCGTTCACATGGCTTTTGTTCTTCAAACTTTTAACTGCATATCACCACACAGGCTACGGTGTCCGGTCATTTAACGTTTTACAATTAAATAATTGACAACATGGCAAACTCTCCATTTTGTGCTCCATAGCACCCCAAGAATGGTGAATGAAGAAGCATTATTTGATATTTTGACCAACATGAGACGATCGCTAATTGTAATTTTATATTTTAAAAATGCAATGCCTACGAGTATGGTTCATGGAGATTTAGCGTCCGCTAACCGTTTCAATTCTTGTTGGACCAAAAATAGGCCAAAAACCATATTTTTGGCCTATTTGTTGTGCCCTCTCAGTCAGATTTAGGAGTCGCAATAAACTCCAGGTTTAATTGGGGTGCACAATGTAAAGCGCTTTTTTCCAAAGCTAACTCTAGACTTGGACTACTTAAGAGAACATGTCATTTCACTACTGATAAAAGGCAGAAAAGATCGTTCTATTTAGCGTTAATTAGGTCTATATTTGAACATTGTTCTGTCATATGGTCCCCTCAATCTGCAACTCATCTTCAACAGTTTGTTGCTATCCAAAAGAGGGCTATTAAATGGATCAATGGTGAACCCTACTCCAGTTATAATGACGATAAACTTGTTACAGAGCAAAAGAAACTAAATATTCTCCCTGTTAAACAGAAGTTTATTTATAACAATCTTATGACCAGTGGCGTAACGAAGGGCCCCACTGGCCCCCGCTGTCAGCCCTACTTAACTAAAGTACTAGCAAAACTGCGCGTTTTGCTCTAGATACACACTTTTTTTGATATTTTACCGGCGTATCCTCTAAAATCACCTAATTTGTTCAATTTTAAGGGAGGGGCACCAAAAGGGGAGGGGGCACTAACAGGGGGGCGCTTTTTCGGCGAGGGGTGCCAACAGGCAACGTTACGCCACTGCTTATGACCTTCTATAAAATAGTGAATAGCATAATTCCAGTTTCGATCCTTACTTATATAGTCCTATGCCGCGCCGTCCAGAGGGCACCCGATACACTAGGCACAATGCTCAAATAATTAATAGGTCGGATACTTCAACTTACATGAGTACCACTGTGCCCTGCTCGGATGCCTTCCGAAATAGCTTCTTTCATAGATCTATGCTGAAATGGAATAGTCTACCAGTATGTATCCGGCAGTTAGAGCGGATTTCTAATTTTAAGGCCAACCTCTGACTGCCGATACAGTCTGGCCAGACTAGCTCAACAGTCTTATGAGTCTCAGAAATGTGTTTTTGTTGGTTACAATTCTGTCCGTCCAATTTCCTATCCGCTTGTCTTCTTCTATTTTCTTTTATCAGTTGTGACGGAATTGTAATGAACAAAATCCTTATAATTATTTATGATATATTTGCTTTCATGTTATTGTTTGTCATTCAAATTTGGTAGACGGTCCCAGCGTTAATGTGGCTCTTGCTATGTGTTGGTTCAGCCGAATTAATTATTATGTAATCAAGTTTATTTTTCACTTTTAGTTAGTTGTCATCAGGCAAAACATTAAGCAACTTATATTGCAGTACCATTTATCAATTAGTATATCAAAATATGTCATTGTAATTTTGCATGGCTGAAATGTAACGCTTAATTTATATATATAATAATTAATTGAATTTTTAAATTAAAAAATATGCAAATGTTAAAACTGAAGCAACCGATATATCTGATCACGATATGGTCAACGTCCTACTCTCCTTCAACCCTGGTGTGATGGAATAGGCCCATGCTACATATCTTGATGAAATGAACTTTCGAGCATTAGATTTCAATCAAGCTGATTTTCCCCGACTGAATGAAGTTTTTGAAGCTATTGATTGGGATGAACTGAGAGATGCTGGTACGTTCGAGGAATTTCCTGCCAAGTTCACGGATAAAGTACTAAACACGTGCATATCGAACATTCCCAAGAAACGACCTCCAACAGGCAAGCCTAAGCTCTACAACTCTCTCAGAAGACGGAAGTCTAAGCTTAAAACTCGTCTCTCCGCAGCAAGGTGCGCCGATGACAATGCCCGAATTAAGAAACTTGAAGACGAGATCGGGCTGGTGTGCTATGAGATAAAGGAGGCCATAGTCAACCATCTCGACCAAGGTGAAAGGAGAGCGGTGGAGCGGATCAAAAGTAACCCCAAATATTTCTTCTCCTATGCCAAATCATTCTCCAAAGTGAAACACAACATCTCTACCCTCCTTAACGGCAATAAGGAACTAGTAACGGAAAGAACTCGCCAACATCCTTCAACAACAGTTCTGCTCCGTTTTCAGCGACCCTAACTGTCCCGACACAGCAGTCCCTACATTTGCGGTACCACCCCTTATCAGTAGAGACAATGACATTGTGTTAATACCTGATAGTATCATGAAAGCTATATCTGAAATCAAGCTAGACTCTGCCCCTGGACCCGATGGAATACCAGCTATTCTTCTCAAAAGGTGTGCTACCAGCCTTAGTGTCCCGATTTATCTTATGTGGTCAGAGTCCATGTCATCTGGTATAGTGCCAAGCTTCTACAAGACGGGTTATGTTTCGCCACTATTCAAGAAAGGCAGTAGATGTGAAGCTGGAAACTACAGACCTTCCACTTTGACCTCCCACGTTGTAAAAGTGTATGAAAGAGTGGTAAGGAAACATATGGTTGAGTATTTGGAAGCCAACAGTCTCTTGACCAATAAGCAGCATGGTTTCAGAGCGAATAGGAGCTGCTTGACTCAAATGCTCGGCCATTTTGACGACATCTACGAAGGGTTTACTCGTGGTGAAGATACAGATTCTATATATCTGGATTACGCTAAGGCGTTCGATAAAGTCGACTTAAATCTTCTCATCCACAAGCTGAAAAAATATGGGTTTCATGGCAAGCTCATAGAGTGGATAAAGTCCTTTCTCTTTGATCGCGAACAAGTCGTGGTGCTTAATGGGGTTCACTCGGTTATCGCAAAGGTTTTAAGTGGTGTTCCCCAGGGAAGCGTTTTGGGGCCGCTTCTCTTTATCTTGTTCATCAATGATCTAGAACAAGTAGTGGACTCATCTAGGGTGAGTTTTTTCGCCGATGATACTAGAGTCTCCAAACAGATTGGCTGTTTTGAAGACTGTCAGTTGTTACAAGAAGATATCTATAAGATTCTTGACTGGTCACGTAGCAACAACATGAAGCTTCACGAGCAGAAGTTCGAACTGTTAAATCACCTTCATAACAGTAAGAGCTCATTCCCCGAGCTACCCTTCTTTGCCGAAACACTGCGTTACAAAGTATCCAGTCAGGACATACTTTATCCTGTCGAAAACGTCCGAGATCTTGGAGTTATGGTTTCAAGTGATCTTAGCTGGTCGACACACATCGGCAACATGGTACCCAAAGCAAGGAGCACGCTATCTTGGGTATTCAGTGTGTTCAAAACTCGTGACAAGACCGTAATGACTACTCTCTACAAGTCACTAGTAAGAAGCTTACTAGAGTATTGCTGCCCACTCTGGAGCCCTACCAAGGTGACTGAAATTCAGCTGATAGAGGGGGTGCAAAGAACTTTCACCAGTCGTATTGGCGGTCTTCAACATCTCAACTATTGGGAAAGACTCGTACAGCTTAAATTGATGTCTCTACAGCGCAGAAGGGAGAGGTATATCATACTGATGATGTGGAAGATTCTCCATAATATGGTACCAAACTGCTGTGATATCAAGTTCAAGGTGACCCCAAGACACGGGGATGTAGCTGTCATACCCTCATTGTCAAAGTCAAGTTCCTTACGCAACCAGTCACTGTACGACAGGTCTTTTGCAGTTCAAGGACCGAAGCTGTGGAACAAAGTGCCTCACACAGTAAAGGCTGATTCATCCTTTGACATGTTTAAGTGTAGTTTGTCGAACTTTCTTGCTTTGATACCGGACAACCCTCCGGTCGCTGGCTACAGCTGCAGTTGGTCAAACTCACTCAAGTTGCCATGGAGTACATCTGCACTTAAACGAATGAGAAAGAATAATGATAAAGCATGGGCTGAGTTTGATATTAATCCATCTGATGTTAATTTTAGTTATGCAAGTAGCAAACAACATACTTATGAAGTAGCAGAAATTAAAGCTAAAGTTAACTACGAAAAGAAAATAACATCTAATCTGAAGCAGAATTGTAAGTCTTTTTACTCTTATTTACGAAATAAACGTCAAATTAAATCAAGTGTGGTTTCTTTGGATAGAGGAGATGGTACACGCACAGATAGTTCGACTGAGTCAGCTGAGGTACTCGCAAGTGCCTTTAGCTCTGTTTTTGTGCGTGAACCACC